GTAATCTTTGGGAAATAAAGACAGTTTTAAAGATTATTGGTAAAATATAAATATCTTCAAAAATGTAAACATTTGGTCTAAATTTTTCAGGTCAGATATTAAGTTTATTAAATGCTTTCAGGTCACAAACTGCTTATTTGACTTTAAAAACTTGTTCAATTTATTTGGGAGCATTGAAGTCTAGATAAGACCTTGGAACATGTGGATTATCCATGGTCCCTAGCTATGCAAAGAAAGTTATAAAGAAAAGAAATGTATTATTGGGGGAACCCGCCCCCAATATTTCAACATAGGTTCTTCCTATTTTCCATAAGTGTCGGCCAGCTGAAAAAGAGAGACAGTACAAAAAAGGAATTTTACAGCTGGGCCACCAGGGGTAACATCACATATTGGTAGGACTGTGATGCCCACCTGAGTCTCAGACCAGGATGTTTTTATTAAGGGTTTCAAAAGGGGAGGGGGTGTAAGAACAGGGAGTAGGTACAAAGATCACATACTCCAAAGGGCAAAAAGCAGAACTACTAATAAGGGTGTAACAAAGATCACATGCTTCTGAGGTAACAGGACAAAGGGAAAAAGCAGAACCACTGATAAGGGTCTATGTTCAGCAGTGCACATATTGTCTTGATAAACATCTTAAACAACAGAAAACAGGGTTCGAGAGCAGAGAACTGGTCTGACCACAAATTTACCAGGGCAGAGTTTTTCCTCTCCCTAGTAAGCCTGAGGGTACTGCAGGAGACCAGGGCATATCTCAGTCCTTATCTCAACAGACATTCCCAGAGTGGCCATTTATAGACCTCCCCCCAGGAATGCATTCCTTTTCCAGGGTATTAATATTAATATTCCTTGCTAGGAAAAGAATTTAGTGATATCTCTCCTACTTGCACATCTGTTTATAGGCTCTCTGCAAGAAGAAAAATATAGCTTTTTTTGCCCAACCCCTCAGGCAGTCAGACCTTATGGTTGTCTTCCCTTGTTCCCTAAAAATCGCTGTTACTCTGTTCTTTTTCAAGGTGCACTGATTTCATATTGTTCAAACACAAATATTTTACAATCAATTGGTACAGTTAACACAATTATCACAATGGTCCTGAGGTGATGTACATCCTCAGCTTCCGAAGATAACAGGATTAAGAGATTAAAGTAAAGACAGGCATAAGAAATTGTAAAAGTATTATTTGGGAACTGTTAAATGTCCATGAAATCTTCACAATTTATGTTTCTCTGCTGCAGCTCCAGCCAGTCCCTCTGTTCGGGGTCCCTGACTTCCTGCAACAATTTATATAAGAAAAGATCTTGTATGGTAAATTCTTGTCCTAAAGTAAAATGACTGGTTGTTTAAAAAGAGGGATGTTTACACAAGTCAGAAAGTCTAAATATATCTTACATGGTCTGTGTAAGTCATAAAAGAATTTATGAAAGGGAATTTACGCAAAAATGCCCAACTTAATGATTAGGCCTCCTAAATGCTTCAAAAATGCCACTATGACTCTTAACAGTACAACTTGCATGCTTTACAGCTAGGTAAGGGACACATGGAGTTAGATGCTGGAAAGAATAGGCTTTGTCTGCACTTTTGCCTGGTGTGTCCTAGGCTAGACTCCACAGCTAGTACATAATTAAAATCCCAAACTTACCAAGGTTTCCACCAAAAGTAAAAGTTGCTAAGAGTTAATGTTGTAACATGTAATTGAGACTACTGAAGAAAAAATTCTACGTGCAAGGCATGTAAGGAAAGTAGAATACACTAATACTTTTGGTAGAAGATTATAAGAAGGCATGGGAATGTGGAATTTTTTTTTTTTTTTTTTTTTTTTTTTTTGCCTAAAGGGTTAAAGGATTGTTTTAAGTCAAGATATAGCTAAAGCTTTTACCAAGTTGTGGAAGGTTTGTGAAAAATTAATCTTGTAAAAGAAATTCTGTGTGTGAACATATTGGCTACAGTTAAAGGGGTATTCTTCAGTTTTTCTGTAATTCAACATTGGAACAAAAGCACAACCGGTTTTTCTTAGAGCAAAAACCTGCTTATGATATAGTCTTTAACAAAAAATTGTAAAAGATTATAAAGGTTTATAAAAATCTTACCTTATGGTCAAATTAATTAAAATTGGATACTTTTGTCTCTAAGGTTTTATTAAGAATAGGGTTAGACATCAATAATGCACTAATGTAACCGTGACATTTGGCTTATTTTGTATAAAAATCATACAGGAAACACTGTCAAATATGAAATGGTGTTTGGCTTTCTTTGGGCTATATTTGCATAAATATGTTATTGGTATGTACTCCAAAATTATAAGAAACACTTATAATTCTAATATGACAGCATAAGTTATTAATAATTGATGCATTAAATCATTGTATGCCACAGAGGTAACCAAATTTCTTTGTCAATCGTGTTTTTGACTGTGGCTATTCTAAGATGTTTTGTCATCCACAGACAATTGTCTTGTTTTGATCCTCTTTAAAAGGTGGTTTATAATCAGCTATGGGACTCTAACAGGTGTTCTTGAATGCAGGTGTCTGATAACTTTGAAGACTGTGACATTAGAATAGAGGGAAAACTTTCCAGACTCATGGAAAGCTCAAATGTTCATGAATATCAAGCAGAACAGGAGTTAACTGCATAAACTAAAGAAGTCTGAAGTAATCTTTTTATATTTGCTTAAAACTTTGCTAATCTCTTGTTTTGTTTTTCAGAGTCAATAAAACTTTTCTTTTGAGCTATTTATAGCTCATAGCAATTGAATAAAGTATATACCTGTGAAAAAAATTTGGAGCATATTTATTTCTCTCCAACTAATTTCTCTAGAATTTGAAAACTATTTGTGAGTATTCTTAATTTATGGTAATATAGTTATTTGCATAAGTGCAATAAGAATATGTTTTCATTTGTAACAGGACACAATTAGAGAAATTGGTTATTTTACAAGGCTTTGACTAGAATTGTGTGCTCTCCATTAAGGAATCAAACTTGACTTGTAAAGTCAATAAAAGGTTTTTGGGGAACTGGCCTCATACTTTGCCTACACAGGCCCTGTACAGGTTTTCTGACTGATAGTAAGTAAAGAATGTTGCTTTCTAACAGGTCCAGGATGCCCAGATTATCTTGAGACCTCAGGAGGAGACGAATTTATTCAATTCATAAGTATTTGAGGGTACAAACCCATGGCAGGGCTCAGCTTTAAAGTATTATCTGAGATTCCTTCCATGGAACAGAGTTCCATCAAAGCCAATTTACAAAAAGCTTATGTAGAAAACAATTATTCTTGCTGCACTGTATGCAAATAATCAGGACAAGTATAATAAATCAAATTGCTCTTGCTACGGTATGTCTTTGTAAAAATGGGAAACTAGAGAAAGAAATTATGTTTCAAGAATTATGGAACACGGGCCGGGCGCGGTGGCTCAAGCCTGTAATCCCAGCACTTTGGGAGGCCGAGACGGGTGGATCACGAGGTCAGGAGATCGAGACCATCCTGGCGAACACCATGAAACCCCATCTCTACTAAAAAATACAAAAAACTAGCCGGGAAAGGTGGCGGGCGCCTGTAGTCCCAGCTACTCAGGAGGCTGAGGCAGGAGAATGGCGTAAACCTGGGAGGCGGAGCTTGCAGTGAGCTGAGATCCGGCCACTGCACTCCAGCCCGGGCTACAGAGCGAGACTCCGTCTCAAAAAAAAAAAAAAAAAAAAAAAAAGAATTATGGAACAAACACTTGTTATTAGATGCTAGTCTGATCAGTTGTTTTTAAAGTTGTTTCTGCAATTTAGGTTAACCCTTCCTATTCTTGTGAACCAACCATTGGTCTCTGACTGCTGCTCAGAAGAAACAAGAAGGATAGGTAATGCAAAAATCCAGATCAGTATTCTAATTCTGGGCACATTGCAATCAGCTAGCAATCCTATATCAGTTTGGTCCCAACAGTTGCCCATTTCATTGAAAGCCTTCCAATTTAGTTTACTTCGGATAGTTTTGCTTATTTTGCTTTACTCTTGTGGAATATACTGCTGTTGTGCTCTTTGTATAGGAATGCAGGATAAGCTTCCTGAATGTTTTCTTTAATTGAATATTTATTAATATTCCAGATATCACCTCTTGTCAGAACTCAAGAGTCATGAATGGTACTTGCCATACTGATACTTTCTGACTGAGTTCCTCTCTACCCTGAATACAACAGACTCTAATGGTTAGGTAGGAAAATCATCACCTCTACTTAGTCTGAAAAAGTTACAGAAGATGGATCTTCATCCCTCTACAACCCTTAGGATTAAGGGTTCTCTTATAAAAGGAATAGGGAAAATATGTCTGTGGTATGTAAACCAGAACAACTCCATACTGAATAGGGGCTGGATGAGGCAGACACCTGCTGGACTTCATTCCCAGACAGCTAAGGCACGGTAAGTCACAGGATGAGATAGGAGGTCAGCAAAAGATAGGTCATAAACACCTTGCTGATAAAACAGGTTGCAGTAAAGAAGCTGGCTAAAACCCACCAAAACCAAAATGGTAATGACAGTGACCTCTGGTCGTCCTCACTGCTGCACTCCCACCAGCGCCATGACAGTTAATAAATGTTATGGCAACATCAGGAAGTTATCCTATATGGTCTAAAAAGGGGAGGCATGAGTAATCCACCCCTAGTTTAGCATATAACTAAGAAATAACCATAAAAACAGGCAACCAGAAGCCCTTGGGGCTGCTCTGTCTATGGAGTAGGCATTCTTCATTCCTTCACTTTCTTATTAAATTTGCTTTCACTTTCCCTGAATTCTTTCCTGCATGAAATCTAAGAACCCTCTCTGGAGATCTGAATCAAGACCCTTCCTGTAACACCTGCACCTATACCTGCACCTACTCTGTGGCCAAAATGCCAGGGACTCTTTCCATAACAGATGCTAGTTAATTCTGAATGAATAAAACTGAAACATTGATCACTAATACTATTAAAATAGGGGGTTCAAAGACTTGTTGACAAAAGAGTCAAACTCTGTAAAATATTTTGAAGAGATTTATTCTGAACCAGAATAAACCAGCCCCCAGGAGGTCCTCAGAACGTGTTCTCAAGGCCGTCGGGGTGTAGCTTGGTTTTATACATTTCAGGGAGGAATGAGACATCAATCAAATACATTTAAGAAATACATTGGTTTGGTTCAGAAAGGTGGGACAAGTCAAAAGGTAGAGGATCTTCAAGGATGTAGGTAAATTTAAACATTCTCTGGTTGACAACTGGTTGAGTTTAAGACCTGAGATCAATAGAAAGGAAATGTTCAGGTTAAAAGATTGTGGAAACCGAGGTTCTTTTGAAGTCTTATATGGCTACCCTTAGAGAGAATAGATGACAAATGTCTCCCATTCATTCCTTTAAAAGATGTCAGACTCCTAATCTCTTCAGGACTGGGAGAGCCTGGAAGAAAAGCTATAGCTATGTTAATAGAGATTCTTTATAGAATGCAAATTTTCCCCCACAAAAGATAGCTTTGCAGGCCATTTCAAAATATGGCAAAGAAACATGTTTTGGGGTAAAATATTTTTACTTTCTTCTTTGTCACATAATGTTATGTCAGAGTCAGATTGGAAAGTAAATCATGATATATAGGATTAAATAAAACCCATCGATGAGAATTTATGCTTTGTATAGCATGACTCTCCAGATCTCTTAGATAGGAATTTGGGCAAGATAAAAAAAAAAATCAGAGGTTAGTCCTCAGGCTCTTGCTAATACTTTGACTTGGAAGGAAAGACATAAATAGGAGGAACAATATAGTTTCCTCTGAAGTATCCATTTTTTCTTTCAAGAAGTAGTCACACCAGTGTCTCCAGTAGGTTCCCAAGAAGCAGAAACTAAGACAGGGATTCATAGGCACTGTGGTTAACTGAGGCAATCCAGGACAGGGAAGAGAAAGGAACCACAAGAATAGGACTTCAGACAAAATGGGGGTCAGGGGGCTGCAGAAGCTGTCATGCTTTGAGGCAAGAGGACTTCTGTACAACCAACGCAAGGAGGGAGGATTTCCTACTTTAACTTCCAGGCACCTTGAGGCAAAGTAGCAAAAGAGTGAGAGCTGAACCAGGAGCTGAAGTACCTGAAGTAGCTGCAAAAGGGGCACAGCACCCTAACCCGGAGGCATGAGCCTAGGGGATCTTGCAGGGCAGTCTGTGCTATGATGAGATATTCCTAAAGAAAATAAAGTGTAAGGAAGAATTGTGATCAGAAAGGGAAAAGTACATCAGTAAAAAGGAAAATAAAGTGAACCCTGAAAGCTTTCTGAATAGGCACACAATAAACCCCATGCAGAGAAATGGCAAAGACTCTGAATGAGCCATGTGTGAGAGTATATAAGCTTGACAGCTCAACTGCTGCCAGCCCTAGATTTCAAAGGTGGGCCATAAATAGTCATTAGCAGCTTTCAACTATGGGCATGTCTGCCTTAGCTGACCTTAACCACAATGAATTACAGGAGGAATGCTCTCTAGTGTACCAAGAAAACTTTCTGTTATTACTGTCATATTTCTTCATCTCTCCCACTAAAGCCATCCCTTTGGCAAGTCCTGCCAGCTTCCTGTGGGTACATTTTCCCCATCAACCCCATAACCCCATAACCCACACTCTTCCCTAATGCATATTCCTATGTGATGCCCAAAACCCACATAGGAGTAGTTGTTTGCACAATATTATTGTGTGTTTCAATAAAAGCTCAAAATTCATATTGTGAAGCAGGAAATATAATCACACAAAGCAAAGGCTAAGAATAGTTCATGTGATTCGTCAAATCTAGCTCTGGGCTTATGGAAATCAAGGCAAAAAGGGAAATAGTGTCTAGGGACTTTTGAACAAATAGGAATTCTAGGTCACTAAGGGAGATAAGGCTTTTTGATCCATTTTGTCCTGTTTCACTTTCTGCTTGTTGTTTTGGCATAGAACACTCAGAGGAGCCTCACATGCACACATTACAGACTTTGGCCAATTTCATAGGCATGTGAACTGGTGAACATAACCCACTTCCATTTTCTCTGGCCACCTATGGGCTTAGGATTGGGATGAGGATAAAGGGAGTCAGAGTCGGATCCCAGGAGAAATCAGGCACCCCTTTACGGCAGCGGACTCACCCTGCCATGCATTAGAATCATCTGAGATGGGGCCTGGATATAGATGCTCTTCTGAAGCTCGCTAGATGAGTTTGTTTTGTTTTGTTTTGTTTTTTAATTTAAGTTCCAGGATACATGTGCAGGATGTGCAGGTTTGTTACATAGGTAAACACATGCTATGGTGGTTTGCTGCACCTGTTAACCCATCACCTAGGTATTAAGCCCAGCATGTATTAGCTGTTATTCCCGATGCTCTCCCTCCACGCCCTGCCAACAGGCCCCAGTGTGTGTTGTTCCCATTCCTGTGTCCATGTGTTCTCATCAATCAGCTCCCACTTATAAGTGAGAACATGCAGTGTTTTATTTTCTTTCCCACATTAGTTTGCTGAGGATAATGGCTTCCAGCTCCATCCATGAGCCTGCAAAGCACATGATCTTATTCCTTTTTATGGCTGCAAAGTATTCCATTATGTATAGACTACAGAAAGAAAACCACGTTTTCTTTCTGTAGTCTATCATTGATGTGCATTTGGGTTGATTCCATGTCTTTGTTATTGTGAATAGTGTTGCAATGAACATATGCAAGAATGTATCTTTAAAATAGAATGATTTATATTCCTTTGGGCATATAACCAGTAATGGAATTGCTGGGTCAAATCATATTTCTGATTCTAGGTCTTTAAGGAATCACCACACTGTCGTTCACAATGGTTGAACTAATTTATATTCCCACCAGTAGTGTAAAAGCATTCCTATTTCTCCACAGCCTTGCACCTTCTGTTGTTTCTTGACTTTTTAGCAACTGCCATTCTGACATGAGATGGCATCTAATTGTGGTTTTGATTTGCTTTTTTGTAATGATCAGTGACGTTGAGCTTTTTTCGTATGTTTGTTGGCTGCATAAATGTCTTCTTTTGAGAAGAGTCTGTTCTTGTTCTTTGCCCACTTTTTAATGGGTTTTTTTTTTCCTGCAAATTTGTTTAAGTTCCTTGTAAATTCTGGATATTAGGCCACTGTCAGATGGATACATTCCAAACATTCTCTCCCATTCTGTAGGTAGTCTGTTCACTCTGATGATAGTTTCTTGACCCCATATGTCAATTTTTGCTTTTGTTGCAATTGCTTTTGATGCTTTTATCATGAAATCTTTGCCTGTGCCTATGTCCTCAATGGTATTGCCTAGATTTTCTTCTTTGTACCAGTATCATGCTGTTCTGGTTACCATAGCCTTGCAGTATAGTTTGAAATCAGGTAGCACAATGCCTTCAGCTTTGTTCTTTTTGCTTAGGATTGCCTTGGCTATTTCGGCTCTTTTTTGGTTCCATCTGAATTTTTAAACACTTTTTTTTTTCAAATTCTGTGAAGAATGTCAATGGTAGTTTAAAGGGAATAACACTGAATGTATAAATTGCTTTGGGCAGTATGGCCATTTTCACAATATTGATTCTTCCTAGTCATGAACATGGAAAGTTTTTCCATTTGTTTGTGTCCTCTCTGATTTCCTTGAGAAGTGGTTTGCAGGTCTCCTTGAAGAGTTCATTCACTTCCCTTGTTAGCTGTATTTATAGGTATTTTATTCTCTTCGTAGCAATTGTGAATGAGGTTTCGATCATGATTTGGCTATCTGCTTGTCTATTGTTGGTATATAGGAATGTTAGTAATTTTTGCACATTGATTTTGTATCCTCACACTTTGCTCAGTTGCTTATCAGCTTAAGAAGCTTTTGGGCCAAGATAATGGGGTTTTCTAGATAAAGGATCATGTCCTCTGCAAACAAAGACAGTTTGACTTCCTCTCCTCCTATTTGAATACCTTTTCTTTCTTTCTCTTGCCTGATTGCCCTGGCCAGAACTCCAGAACTTCCAATACTCTGTTGAATAGGAGTGGTGAGAGAGGATCTCCTTGTCCTGTGCCACTTTTCAACTGGAATGCTTCCAGCTTTTGCCCATTCAGTATGATATTGGCTGTGGGTTTGTCATAAATGACTTTTTATTTTGAGGCATGTTGTATCAATACCTAGTTTATTGAGAGTTTTTGACATGAAGGGATATTGAATTTTATCAAAGGTCTTTTCGGTGTCTATTCAGATAATCATGTAGTTTTTGTCTTTAGTTCTGTTTATGTGATGAATTATGTTTATTGATTTGCATATGTTGAGCCAACTTTGCATCTCTAGGATGAAGTAGATTTGATCGTGGTGGATACACTTTTTGATGTGTTGCTGGGTTTGGTTTGCCAGTATTTTATTGAGGATTTGTGCATCAATGTTTGTCACAAATGTTGGCCTGAAGTTTTCTTTTTTTCTTGTATCTCTTCCAGATTTTTGTATCAGGATGATGCAGGCCTCATAAAATGAGTTAGGGAGGAGTCCCTCCTTTTCAACTGTTTGGAATAGTTTCAGAAAAAACAGTATCAGCTCCTCTTTGTACCTCTACTAGAATTCAGCTTTAAATCCATCTGGTCCTGGGCTTTTTTTGTTTGGCAGGCTATTAATTACTGCCTCAAATTCAGAACTATTATTATTCTTTTTTTTTTTTAACTTGTGAAATCTTTATTTTTTTAATCTCATATTGAAAATGCAGGTTTTTTTTTTTTTGCTGTCTCTGCTTTTGCAGGTATTTTATTCTATTTATTTATATTTATTTTTTTAATTTATTTATTATTATTATACTTTAAGTTGTAGGGTACATGTGCATAACGTGCAGGTTTGTTACATATGTATATTTGTGCCATGTTGGTGTGCTGCACCCATCACCTAGTCATTTACATCAGGTATAAATCCCAATGCAATCCCTCCCCCCCGCCCCATGATAGGCCCCGGTGTGTGATGTTCCCCTTCCTGAGTCCAAGTGATCTCATTGTTCAGTTCCCACCTATGAGTGAGAACATGCGGTGTTTGGTTTTCTGTTCTTGTGATAGTTTGCTAAGAATGATGGTTTCCAGCTGCATCCATGTCCCTACAAAGGACACAAACTCATCCTTTTTTATGGCTGCATAGTATTCCATGGTGTATATGTGCCACATTTTCTTAATCCAATCTGTCACTGATGGACATTTGGGTTGATTCCAAGTCTTTGCTCTTGTGAATAGTGCCGCAATAAACATATGTGTGCATGTGTCTTTACAGCAGCATGATTTATAATCCTTTGGGTATATA